ACCAGGTGATTATCTGGCCGGTTCACAAAGATGCTGTCTTCAGGTATGAAGAAGGCGCGGGTTGAGGTGGATGCGAATAGTCGGGGAAGGGGTCCGGCGGGCTGATCTGGAAGATCTGACTGTGCACATCTGGCTCTGGCAGTGGGAGCCATAATGTCGCCAGCCGTGGTGGCATGGGGTGAGCATGATTTTGCAGCGAGCTCTCGACTCGGAGATGACGCGAGGCCCGACGAAGGAGGCGGCCAGGCCATTGCCGACGCGGACCCTGAGGAGGTCTTTGTGGACAATTCTCAAAACGTCGACGCGCAGGGTGCGCTGGACGGGCCCGACGTCGGTGGCGACGAACAGCTGATCCTCGAGCAAGGGGACCATGGCGTTCGACTTTGCGTTGGCTTTGGCGTTGGCGATCAGCATGGCCTCATCGGCGGGTGAGTCGACGCGGCGACGTTTGTGGGGACGCAGCTCGCGGCCGCCAGGACCGAGGGGCTCATGGCACGAGTCTCCAGCGAGGTTGCGGGCGACAGAGGCAACGTTTCCCATGTCCCGTGACGTTTTGAGGCCACGAGCCAGGTTCCTCTGGAGAAATGGCAGTTCGCGCTTGCAGCCAACGGCAACCGGCATCGCTGGAGGAAGACGGCGGCAGCGGCATGGAACACTTGACGAGTGAGGTCAGCAATTGGGTCCGGCGCGAGAGGGTCAGGCGTGGAGGGCGACCGAACCGGAACTAGGGGCCGAGGCAGAGCAGTTTCGAATGAGTGGTACGGACTGGATATCGAGGGGCGTGTGCGGGCTGTGACACCATGGCCTCTCGGGAGTGGGCACGAGGGAGAGAGTCGAATCGAGTGAGATGAGATGGTGAGGGTGAGGGTGATGAGGGTGATGAGGGTGATGAGGGTGCGTAGTGACTGATGACGGTTCAGGCAAGGTACGGCAAAGAATGAGAGTGAGAGTGGATGGTGCCCATGCGGGAAAGGAACGACGTAGGAAGAGGGAGGCCAAGACGTGGCTCTTGGACAATGTCGAAGTCCAGTGCGTCGCGATGCGAGAGTGAGGTGGAGCAGAGGTGAATGGCGAATGCGTCTCGTCGAGAACGCACGTAGAAGAAAGGGGGGCCGTGCCGTGAACCGTGGACCGTGGACCTTGGACCGTGGACCTTGGACCGTGGACCTTGGACCTTCAACAAAGGATTGAAGATTGCAGTGACACGGGGTCGACGCGCCACATGCCAGCCTGCAGACAACAAGGTTGGCGGTTCCGTTTCCCGCTTCAACTTGGTGAACAGAAGGAAAAAAAAGTGGTCGAGGGAGTTCCAGCGATGGAGGAATGGCCTCAATGGCCACTGGCAATGGCCACTGGAGAAGGAAAGGGCCGGCGAGAGGGCAGGGCCGGGGATGACGGGGATTGCGAGAGCGTAGCAGCCGCGAGGGAGTGAGCCCGACGACGTGGATGGATAGAGTGGATGGGTGGGCGCGAGAGACGCGTCTCGGAGTACCTTCCTCGCACCGGGCAGCCAGTAAGTCCCACACCCCCAACTCCGCGCCCCCCTAACTCCGCGCACTAAAATCGACGAACGAATAATAGTATAGAATAGCAGATAATATTAATTACTTACTTAATAGGGCTTATTCTAATAGAAATTCCGAGCACTAAAACTTAAACTTAGCTTCCTAATACTTAATAGGCGTTACTAATAGTATATAGAGGGCCTATACCTTTAATTAAGCGGCCTTAATAGCCTAGATATTAATAAACCTTAAGTTAAGCTCCTAGGCTACCCTCGTCTTCCTATAGGGCTTATATACCTCTAATTAAGCGCTTAATTAAGTTATTCGGAGGCCTACTTTTATTATTTATATATCCTTAATATCTAGAGACTTCCCTACTTTTATAAATAAGCGCTATATAGCTTATACTAAGGCCTTTAATATTATATAGATCTAAGATAATATAGAATAGCTTAACCGTAGATCCTTCGCCCTTTATAATATTTATAAAATAAAATCTATATATTTCTATTATTTCTAAGGGGTCTCTAAGTATATAGGATAACCCTTATCTATTATCTAAGAGCTTAAGAGAGGCTAAAGTAAACTTACTAGCTATAGGCTAATTCTATACTATTTATTTATAATATTACTATATATAATAGCATTACGCTTAGCCTTCTAATAATAAAGAAGGAAGTTCTATTTATTAATAAGCGATATATCGAGGAGGTAAACTATACTCTTAAGATACTTCCTATATATTATCTTAAAGGGGCTAAATATAGAGAAGTTAAGAGGCTATATAATATAGCTCGAATATAGGGGTAAGAAGATAAGGAGGATATTCTCTTAGAAGTATTCCTATAAGAAATCGTTAAATACGTAACTCCTATAGCTATCTATTATAAAGAAACGAGGAGACTTAAGCTTAAGGGCCTTAGCCTACGTCTAAGGGATAAAGATCTTCGTAAGCTATTTAAGGCCTATTACGTTATTCGTTTATCTATTAATTATTATAGCGAACTTCTAATTATTAAAATTATCGAAGGCTTTAGGGAACTATTACTATTAGAGTATTTTCCCCCTAAAAATAATAAAGGGAAGGAGGGCCTCGCTTATAATAAATATATACTTAATAATAGTAGTCTAAGAGCGTAAATCGGCTATCTATATATAGTATTTCCGATACCCTATTTAGCCTAGAACTAAGCTATTAATTCCTATACCTTCTATAATACTTATCTTATCTATATTAAATTATAAATATAGAGGAATAGCCTTAATATTAAGGGCGTTAAATAGAAGGAAGAAATCCTTAAGACGTTAAATAATAATACCTTTAATATAATTAACTTCTATTTATTTACCTAAGAAGGTTATAATAGAGGGATTTTACTATTTAAAGCCTTCTATTTAATACCTCTTAAGGGGAATATCGTCCCCTTAAGCGAGGAGGATCTAGTATACGAAATCGAGGATTTAAGAGTATAAAAGGGCGAACCCTAGGGCGCCTTATTTAACGATCTAATAGGCTAAGTATTATTCCTAAACCTAATTAAGCCTTTAATAGGGAGCTTTTACTTTATAAATCGTTATTACGCCTTTAAGTCTCCCTCGAAGTATTATAGTAGGAACGTTCTAATTACGCGAGGCCTTATACGTCGAGTAGCTATTACTAATAGCCTAAAGCATATTTAAAACGTCTTCTTTAGTATAGCTCTTTATTCTAAATCTAATAATATAGTTAGCGTAATTATTAGACGAGGGGTAAGTAAGATATCGCGATATATATGCTATTAGGGGGCGATTTTCGGGTGTTGAAAGTAGGTAGAATTAGTGCGCGGAGTTGGGGGGGCGCGGAGTTGGGGGTGTGGGACTTAACGACTTCCTCCTCAAGGGCACCTCAGGCAAGGCAGGCAGAGGCAGGCTCGAGTGGCTTGGGGGAAGGAGAATTGGGGTGGGGTGTGATGACTGATGAGATGGTGCAGGTGCAGGTGCAGGGCCTTCCTTCCTTTCCCGTCCATTTGTTAGGAAATGCTCCCCGATAAGCGATAAGCTCCTTCCGACATGGACATTCGGACAGCAGTGGCGGCCGACCTGCTCACGCTCGGCAGGTGCTGCTGCTGCTGCTGCTGCTGTTACTGCTGCTGCTGTCACTGCCGCCGCTGCTGCTGCTCCCTTCCAAACACAACCTGGAAGCCGCCATGAGCGACGTTCATCTTGGTGATCTTTCTTCGCATGTTTATGTTTCTCTGGGTTTCCACCGTCCACCCACGCCTTCGCCTCGATAGCTTGCTCTCCCTCTCTTGTTGATGGGAGCCTGCAATGCATCATACTGCAACGCATCATACTGCAACGCATCATACTGCAACGCATCATACTGCAACGCAGTCATAGACGTCACCACCGAACAACGCAGCTCACACCATACCTGAATACACTGTGACTTTATCTTCCTGACCCTCACTCGCTGCTCGCCACAACCAACTTCATTCACCCTTGCGTCTCCTGTCCTACAGGACCTAGATATCCTCCGTTGTCAAGACGTCACAGGCCAGCTCGTCCCTCGTTCTCCGCCCGCCTGGGTTGGTTGGTGGTCAGTCAGTCTTTGCGAGCGGCTACCGTGCCCGAGGACCAGGGGCCTAGAACCGGAGTCGCATTAGCTTCCCGGCACGCAGCAAAGCTTCAACCCCACCAGCTTGGCACACGCCTCCCCCGTACGGCGCACGCCGGATCGGTGCCTGCATATCCACCGGCGGCGTACTGGCTGTTACACCTCGATCCCTCATCGAAACCCCCAAGCGTCACAGCAAGTGATGGGCCTCCACAAGCAAACCCCCAAGGTCGCTCAAGGCTCCCCATCACCGCGCCGCAACCCCTCCCGCCGGTTACGCCACTCGACACCGCCCACAGAGGCCTCGCGTGCGACTCGCAGCCAGCTTACGACGCAACATCTCCTACGAGGCGATCGAGATGGCGCAGGGGAAGCACAGACGTTCAGCACGCCCCAAGCTGGCGACGAAGTACTAAGGCCTCAAGAAGACCCCGTGAGGGCCGTGACAGCTGCGGCCACAACCCACGACACCCCAGAAACTAGCTGGCAACGCCGCTCCTCGCTCATCGGTCATGGTGCCCGCAACGAGCACCTCAAGCAACAGAAGCCACTGGTGTCCAAAACGAAGTCGAAAGCATCCACCGGTCCAGCATGGGACAGTCCCCTCTTGACGTACTATAATTGGGTTGCCGTCATGAGCTATGCTGCCGCGTCCGACTCCCCTGATGGCATTGACATCAACTGGCTCCTCCGCACCGCGCGTAGCTGCAGTCTGCTTGCCGAGCCTGCCCTGGATGTCCTCTATCGTTGCCCGCCCTTGACCAATGACCACAAGGCGAGAAGCCTCGTTGCTCTGCTGGAGAGACCCCCCTCGCGCACTTTCTACAACTACCGTGCCAAGATCCGCGCCCTGCGTATCGACACGGCTTTTGTCACCATCCAAGCTCATACCCCAGTATCGCCGTTTTCTTTGATGCAAAACTTGACCAACCTCGAAGAGGTCATGATTGTCCACTCGTCTGACGACCCACCATTTCGCAGGCGTAGCGAGAACATCCGCTGGCAGTACCCAAAAGAACTCTTCGAGGCTCTCGATGTCGCCCCGGATGCCAACGTAGATGCGGGAGACAAGAGATATGTCACGCATCTCAAAGGCTTCTGCTGGAACGCTCGCATGATGGGCCGTGGCTTCGTCGATGGTGTAGACAAGATAAAAGAGATACACGCCCAGCCCACCTTTGCATACCTCCGCAGAGTTTGCTTTGCCAATTTTCAGGTGCCTTCCTGGAACATGCGCGTGACGAAGCAGGACGAGTCTGATGAAGCGATCGCCGCCCGAGAAGCGAAGGACCAAAAATTCTCCAGGTCCTTCGCCGCTTGCTTGTCTGGCCTTGACGAACTCGAACACCTCACGTTTCTGTCGTCATCTGTGGTCAACGCCGCACTGCTTCAGAACCTGCCGCAAAAGTTGAAGCAACTCAAGGTCATTAATTGCTGGGACCTGCAGTCCACAGACTTGGCCGAATTTCTCCTCTCACACGGACGGCATCTGGAGTCTCTTGTCCTCGACCACAACCAAGCACTTAACTTGTCCTTTCTCACAGTCCTGGGCACCGCTTGCCCCGACCTCCGCGAACTGCACATGAATCTGCAGTATTTCAGGCACTATGATGCTTTTGATGATTCAAACCCCTTATACGAGACGCTGCTATATCCCGACCAGATCCCCACATGGCCCGCTGCCCTGCAGCGTATCGAGCTGGACAACCTTCGACAGTGGACTGTCGAGGCAGCCACCAACTTCTTCCAGTCTCTGGTTGACAGTGCTCCGCAGCTGCCCATGCTACGCTATCTCGTCGTCCGCTGCATGTTGAACATTCCGTGGAAGTCGCGCAGCGAGTTTCGTCATGTGTGGGAGCCCAAGCTGAATGCGATTTTCCTGCGTCCCAAGTTGTCGGCCCCGCCAGTCAGCAGCAAGACCACCAACATGCGCAGCAAATCGACACCGCCAAAGAAGCCTCGCAAGGGGAAAAGGTCAAGCACGGAGGGGCCTGCGCGACAAAGCAGGCGCATAGCCTCGAAGACGTCGGGCCAATCTTCGCGTGCGAGTAGCGCGTCCAAGCCCTTGCGGTCGATCAAACGAAAGCAGTACGAAGAGCCTGACAGCGATGAGTTTGATCACGAGGGCGATTTGGACGTGGACATGGATTTGTCCGAGACAGAAGCGAGTGAGGTTGGGAGCAATGAGGGCAACTCTCCTGCTGGCGCGTCGGACGGCATCTTCGTGCAGGGTCTCTGTACTATTGTCGAGATAAAATTGGACAATCAGAAGCCGCGCGAGCGACAGTTTGTCATGGAGGACTTTGTGGACTCGGAGCGCGGCGACACGGATCCCGAGTGGGATAGCCAGGATGATGACTTTGTATAGAGAGTATGGAACTTGACGGTGTGCCTAAGCAGCGGGCAGTCACGAAGTGGTCGGATGGGTTGCTTCACTGGCTTGATCTCAAAGCAGCCGAATTATTGGGCAGGAAACAAAAGGTATGATTTAAGCTCAATGCCTAGCTACCTGCGAAGGAAACAATTTATATCTGCCTGCTGGGGAGACAATTCCTAGCTGCCTGCCAGGGAAATACATGTAATGACTGAATTGCTACAACTATCGAACATGGCCCCTCGCCCTCCTTACGAGTGACCCGCGAACCCAAGCAAGCCCTGCCTCAGCTGGGGGACAGAGACTCGGCATTTAGCTGCAGTCGCAAATGGTAGCGCAGTAGATGGAGCTATCCGGTCAGGTCAGCAAGCTGCTCAGGGGTACAAGGTGGAGGGAGGGAACTCACTGGCCAGCGGCGGCGCCGTGGGAACCGGGGCTCGAGCCGATGGGGGGCGTGGCGGCCCAGCAGTCGGTGCAGGTGTCGTAGAGGCAGCGCTTCTCAACGACGCTGCGCTTGATGGCCTCGAGCGTCATGGGCGACTCGGGGGCGATGGGGGAGGCCACGGCGAGGGCGGCGAGGGAGAGGATAGCGGTCATGGTGAACTGCATGATGGCGGTTTTGTACTTGTTTCAGGGGTAAGGGTAAGAGATGGGGATCTTCTGGCGAGTGAAGTAGATTGTTTGCGTGGTAGGTTTCTTGGTGTTGGATAGTGTTGTGTGTTCTGATGATGAGATTTGGTTGAAGAATGGCGAAACTGCCCTCCCCTTTTATACTTGTTCGAGGCCTCTTCGAGTCACCGTCACCTCGCCGTCACCTCGCCTCTGTGCCTTGGCCGACCTCCTCCCGCAACTGCAGACGGTTCATTGTCATGTCGATCATGCGTGCGCATAGATTGATGTCATGGTCGTAGGTTGGATCGCAACTTCGGGCAACGTTTCGTCGACAAGGTCGAAACGGGGTCAGCCTCGCCGACGACAAACAGCTTCCCCTGCGCCCTCTCGCTTACGGAACAGGCCCTGCGCCTGACATGCAGACCACTATGTGGAGGGCGTCTCTATGGCATCGCTTAGCCGCCCTGCCGCCGCCCTCGCCTCCCCCGTCCCTTGGCCAAGATGGGCGCGCTGCCACCAGAAGCGACACTGACGTATCTCGCGGGCTGTGAGCGGCCGCATGCGCGCGACGGTCCCCGGGTTCGCGCCACCGGCACGCTCATCATTTCCCCCGCCAAACACGAGGATCCTGCCGACGGCCAGGTCGAAATCCTTCACGGCCGACGCCTGCCGATCACCGTCGAAAGGGGGCATAAATCTCGACCACGAGACGTCATCCCCGGCAGCGGCAGGACCAGGACCAGAACCAGAACCAGAACCAGAACCAGAACCACCACCAGGACCATCGCCAGCATCATGGCCCGACGCCGCAGCGTGCGCACCGCCGCCAGGGGCGCCCGTCGGGCTGTCCCGTCTGGACAAACCGGCTGAACCGGGGCGTGCATGGCCTCAGCCACCCTGCCGAGGCCCTCGAAACGGGCGATTACGAGCCTGTCGCGCGTGACGAACACCACCCTCTTCGCTGTGGTCCGCGCCCCCGAGGACGGGCCCGAGCGCGGGCAAACTCGTATACCCAGACGTC